TTATTACATCGAGCACTGTTTTATTAACACCTGCACTATATGTGCGATGTACTATATATTATTATTATTATATTTACCGGCTGAAGAAGTACAATCATAGTATTGAAACATGGAAACTTCGTGCAGCGATTTAAAAATGTTTGTACTATAATCTCTTATACAAAAAATATAATTAAAATATTTATGCTCTACTTTGTATTGAGCACTTTTTAAAAAGTAAATGCTACGAACTGTGAATTTTTACTCAATTTGTTCTTTTCTCATTTGGATATTTATATATATATATATATATATATATATATATATATATATATATTAATTGATTTAAAATATGTTTTTTTCCGCTACACAGTTCTAACCATGTTTCAAAAATGCTCTGTAAATTTACATTGAGCACTATTTTGTAAAAATAAAAATATCTATAAGAACACCGGATTATATATCTTACTGTTCTTTCAAAGCATAATATTTTTTCTAAATAAATCCACATTACAACCAAAAACGTTTGCAGCACCTCTCTTCTCTTCTTTTTAATATACATACTTTTCTCTCGTTGGAACCACTACATTATATTTATTTAAAATATATATATATATATATATATATATATATATATATATATGTGTGTGTGTGTGTGTGTGTGTGTGTGTGTGTGTGTGTGTGTGTGTGTTTGCTGCGTGCGAGCGCATATGTGTGTGTGTGTGATTTCATAACGTGGGTATGTGTATATACATGTGTGAGGACACGCCTGTATATACATGCGTACACACATATACGTATGTGTGCCAGTGTGTGTGAACACACGTACATAAGACCGACAAAAATATGTCTAAGGTAAAAAAAAAAAAAAACTTTGTCGGCCGGGATTTTATTAGTTCAAAACCTGCGAATTATATCTAAAATCCCCTATGAGAACCTAATAGATTTGCAATAGATTAAGCTTCCTACAACCGAAAACTCCGAGATAATCGGCTTTTCTTTTTTTTTTTTTTTTAGCTTGGCGTCTTTTTGCTCGGGTCACTTGATCACGCTTTTCATTTAGCAGACGATACCACACCTTTGCGTGCTTCTCGCTACAGTAAATACAATTTGAAGATGATATTAGGAGTTTCATGGAAAGACTTCAGATAAGAAATATTAAATTAATTTTATTACTATTAAATACATACATCAACCCTGATAAGAAGGGAGGATGCATTTGATAATTATAATGGATAATATATGTTTATAATTTGTAATATCGTTTTATATTTGCAGTAACGGGTTACTATGATCTTAGCACGAGATATATATATATATAGACATATATATATATATATATATATATATATATTAATTATTTATTTAAAAATATGATTCCAACTCGCGACATAAGAGGTATCATGTTTCATAACAAGAGCCAAAAACTTCAATATAATTATTTGAATTAAATTGAGTTAAAGTAAGCTCTGTTCCATCTTCAAGCGAAATTTTTTTTGGAATAACGTATTTCTGAAATTTACGTGTTTTAATAATTGAAATCAAAATTTCCATGGTAACAGCTAGGGCGAATTGTTTAAATTGGGTAGGCGTGTGTTGGGTGTTAAGTATCAGTATAGAGTTACTTTCATAGATGTCAAGTCAGGGAAAGGTGGGGGTGTCTAAATTTGAAACGGAAGATGTATTAACCCTAGTCTGGTATGCGTGTCTATGGAGATTTATTTATTTTTTTTTTTATTTTATGAAAGAGATTTGTGCATATAAAAAACTGCTGTAACGTTTGTTTTTTGACGACTTCATAAAGGGTTATCTTTTTTTGTAGGGTATTTAAACTATTTATTTGGGCTATGGATTATGAAAGTTATTATATTGTATGGTTGTTCTTAGCTAATTATTCAAACCATGAATCTGATGATTGGGCTATGAATTAATCAAGTTATAATATTGTATGCTTGTTTTTAGCTAATTATTCAAACCATGAATCTGATGATGTCGACAAAAAACCGTTAACTCATGTCTATTGTTTAATAGATTATTATTATTTAGAAGCTTAATAATGTGCAATTTCTCATGGAGGCACAAAGGGCATGGGTCATCCCAAGTTTCACATGTTCTAGCCTTGTTAATAATTTTCCATTTAACTTTAGGTGTCCTATTTGTTTCCTTCAGATGCCAAAAATATTTAGATATCAAACCTATATGTATAGTAAATGTTAGTTCAAATGATAATGTTGTTTTCTATACGATACACAGTTGAAATGGCTTGACGTCACCGTAAGTTCTATATTAGCAGTTTCTCTCAGTTTTTTCCGGCTTCTTGCTTTCCAGTTAAATTTGATCTACAAAAATATAAACGCAATGTCAATTGTTATCTTCTGTCTTTATAATTATTACGCTTTAATTGTTCTCTCTCCTTAATAATGTTATTTTTTTCTCAGTTTCTCTAGCACTCAGTAACCCCCCTTGCATCTTAGTAGCATCATCACCTTCCTTGATATGGACAAAGACAAACTCAAACATCTTAGATAGATAGATAGATAGATAGATAGATAGATAGATAGATAGATAGATAGATAGATAGATAGATCCAAGAGGTGCTGAAAACTTCTTTAATGCAACCAATTTTTAAAAAATCAGAATTTTATTACGCAAATATAATACAAAACAAGAAATTTAGAGCATTCGATATATATATATATATATATATATATATATATATATATATATATATATATATAAACATTCCGATATAAATAAAATATATCTGTACGAAGACTGTAGAAATAAAGTTAAAAGAGGAAGTTTTGCGTCAGAAAAAGAAAACTTTTGCTTTTCTTTTTCTTCATATATATATATATATATATATATATAAATAAAAAGAAAGAACAGTAAGATATGTAATCAGGTGTTCTTATATATATATATATATATATATGTGTGTGTGTGTGTGTGTGTGTGTGTGTGTGTGTGTGTGTGTGTGTGTGTGTATGTATGTCTTTGTGTGTGTGTGTGCGTGTATTATAATTTTTTTAAATATGTATTCTTTGCGACAAAAATTTATCATGTTTCAAAACAAAACCTAAATCTTAAATTAAACTTAAAATTTAAATTTCAGTTCCATTTTCAAGACATGCAAAATAAGATTTAAAAAATTAATCATTTTTTTTTTCAAAGGTTATTCTGCATCGCTTGAAAATGAAAATGAAATTTAAATTTTAAGTTTAATTTAAGATTTAGGTTTTGGTTTTGAAACACGATAAATTCTGTGTCACAAAGAATACATATTTTTAAAAATAATTATATTAAGCTCTATTGTGTATCAAGCACTGTTTTTTAAAAATAAATGTAAAAGAACTCTGGATTATAAATCTGACTGTTCTTTTTCATATATATATAAAGACTTCGTACGTGAATGTACGTGAGAGATTCATGAATGATTGACGTTTAAAAGCATTAAATTCGACCTTGCTAGCCGATCGATCCTCTGTGGCGAAATCGGTAAAAGCACATCAGGCTATATGACGGTTCCGTATAGGATACAGGTTCGAATCCTGTCTGAGGACGGATATTCTCTATGAAAATTTCTTGGACATTCAGGCCGGTAAATTTTGTTTAATACTGTTTATTATAAACAGAGCATTTACTTGAATATTTGTATCTATAAAAATATTAAACATAAAAATGTTCTAAAAAAAGAATGTTAAACATAAAATATTTTAAAATAATTTTCGGACTTTGTCCATTTCATATAAATATATATATATATATATTTTTCTTTTCCTTTTAAAAAATGTGTGTGCACTCATATATATATATATATATATATATATCGCGATCTCCATATATATATATATATATATATATGAAATGTGTGTCCATATATATATATATATATATATATATATATATTTTTCTTTTCCTTTTAAAGTGTGTGAATGTATATATATATGTATTGTCAAATGATCGGATATATTGTAGCGTCTTGTCGAACGTAATTTCAATGAAGAAATGAATTGAATAAACATATATATTTTTTCTTTTCTCAATAATTTTGTAGTTTTTAAACTTAATAGTGATTAAATTTGGATTTTAAAATTGCCAGTTTTTAATTTTAATATTAAATTTTATCATATAATTTTATAATTATTGGTTAGTATAAATTATTTTAATATTACACGTATTTTTAAAGATCTGAATAGCTATTATAACATGATTTCGTTGTCAAGCTTTTGAATCTTTCTATACTTGGTTTTTGATTGGTTATTCTAGCTTTTGTAACAATGTTTCCCTCAAGTGTAGGATCGTTAATTAATTTGAAACTTTTAAAACCATTTATTTTATTTTCAACATCATCACTTGATAAGACACAGACTGTGTTGAAACAAAATGGCTATTTTTCTAGTGATTTTATAACATACTTATGTTATATTTTTTTTATAAATAATAATTATATCTGCTCTACTCTGTATTGAGCACTCTTTTAAGAATAGTAATTGTTGGTTATTGGAATTCATTCCGTATATACCAATTATATACTTGATATATATATATATATATATATATATATATATATATATATATATATATATATATATTATATATATATATATATAAATATAGTTTACGGACATATAATCTTGAAACACCAGATCTAATCCGATCACCGAACTTGAGACTGGTCAATACCTAGATGGGTGACCGCTTGGGAATACCCGACGCTGTAAGCTTGGATGTTCAGGTGATGTAATGGATAATGGGTCGGAATGAGAAATAGAAGTTAAGCAATGTCGAACCTGATCAATACCTAAACGGGTGACCGCTTGGGGATACCCGACGTTGTAAGCTTGGATGTTCAGGTGATGTAATGGATAACGGCTCGGAATGAGAAATAGAAGTTAAGCAACGTCGAGTCTGGTCAGTACCTAGATGGGTGAATACCATGCGCCTGGAGATGGGTGAATATGGATAATGCGCTGTAGAAGCAATGTCGAACCTGATCAATTCAGGTGATGTAATGGATAATGGGTCGGAATGTACCTAGATGGGTGAAAATGCGCTGTAAGCTTGGAAGTTCAGGTGATGTAATGGATAATGGGTTAAGCAATGTCGAACCTGATCAATACCTAAACGGGTGACCGCTTGGGGATACCCGACGCTGTAAGCTTGAATGTTCAGGTGATGTAATGGATAACGGCTCGGAATGAGAAATAGATGTTAAGCAACGTCGAGTCTGGTCAGTACCTATATGGGTGACCGCTTGGAAATACCTGACGCTGTAAGCTTGGATGTGCGGTTGGTGGAATGGATAATGGAGAAATCGGAGAGCCGTTCAAATTCCATTTGGGTTCGTACATTTCCTTACTCGCAAATATAATTGAGAAAGGTATTAATCAATTTCCTCTCCCCCTGGCTATGGGTAAATAACAGGGCAGACTGGGTCTTATAGCGTTAGTTGGCAACCAGTCTAGGAGAAGGAAAAGTCTAAATTCAAATCTCCCTGGAAATCTTGGCAAGAGACGGAAGACATTTTATAGGACCCAACGGAATATTCAGCACGAAAAATCTACCCATAATGATAAACAAAATGACAGAAAATAACGTTCCTTATTTCCTCGGGGTGAATTTCGAGAGATATGACAGTCAGCGGATCAGTCTTCTGACTTTGCCATCGTATTGGTTAATTCAAAAACGTTAAAGTCGTTGAAATAATCGTTCCTGTCGATGCAAATGTGCTCGAGCGTAAACTGGAAAAATAACGTCTGCGAGATGCAGATATAAAACATCTCTTTATAACTAACATTTTTTCTAGCGAAGTGAAATGTCAGCGTTGTATTCAAGTTATCTGCTTTAAATTTAAAATATCCAAATCAGAAAAAAAGGAAATATATAAGGTATTTTTTTTTTTTTTTTTTTTTTTTTAACTCTTTAGACTCACTAAACTGAAGTCTAGCCTACTTTTCTAACATGAAATATTTGCTGGATAGGTTTGTACGCATATACTGTGTTATAAGCAAATGGCCTCGTTCTGAATCTTCCGTTGATATACAATTCAGAAGAAAACAATGGCCGACCGTTTGTCGAATAATATAATTTTTTTCCTTTTCCTTGTTTTGACATTGTTGCAAGTGGTTTTATCTATTATCTTTTATGATTAAGCTTTCGACGAACAGAAATATAAACGAATAATATTCAAATTTCCTATAGAATAATAGCTCATCAGTTGGTATAAATGTTTTAGAAATTCAGAAAAATAATTATTTATTTTCATTAAACCATCTTAAATCGTAACCTAGATCGCAAAATATGCCAGATGAATAATTCTAGTGGTGATACGTCTTTTTACTTTATAATCTGATGAGACAAAACACGGGAGAACGGTGTGGCTTAGGAAGTTTTATTGAACTGAGAATAGCCTTCGGGCCATATCGCGTTAGAAAACCGGTTCACGTACGATCACCGAAGCTAAGCAACGTCGAACCCGGTCAGTACATAGATGGTTGGGCGCTTGGGTACACCAGGTGCTGTAAGCTTGTAGGTGCAGGTCGTGCAATTCCAGTTGAGTTCGTTATATTCGCTTACACGCAAATACCCTTAGTATCTCATCTCCCCTAGCTATGGGTTAATTAGTAGGACATGTATCAGAAAATCATTATTATCTCCAAGAAATTATTACAATCTAAAATTATTTTCTGGCTTTAAATAACCTGCAAAAGTTTGCTAAACCGTAAAAACAAATCAAACAATCGATAAACAGAAGTATAAATAAATGATAATCAAATTCCCGCTAGAATAATACTTCATCAGTTAGAATAAATATTTTACAATTTAAAAAACATAAGTTATTTTCATTAAATCATCTTACATCAAAAACCCAGCGATACATATATATATATATATATATATATATATATATATATATATATATATATATATATATATTATTCTATGTGCAGTGCTCCTTCAGGACGTTGGCGATCATGGCTCTTCACAATTTCCTCTCCCTTGTAGCTCTTAATAACTTTTGAATTTTTGCTATCTATCCAAAACACTGCTCCGCCATCCATCCATTCCAGCGTTGCTAAGTCGGTTGGGCGTTGCTTTCCTCTGTCTCTTTTATCTTCTTGTGAGTATCAAATTTTCAAAGCCTTCTTTTCTCATTATGTGCCCGAGAAATTTCAACTGTCTTTTCCTGATGCTAAGAAGTTTCTTTTTTGTTGTCATTGTCTCTAGAAGTTCGTTGTTACTCACATGATCGGTCCATACTATTCTCAACACCTTTCTGTAGAAACATAGATGTGTTGCTTCAAGTCTTTTCTTCATCTGTGATGAGATTGTCCAACATTCACTGTCATATAGAGGGACATCCATCACATAACAATTCAGTACTCGTTTCTTTGTTTGTAACAATATTTTTCTGTTTTTTAATACTTTGCTTAGATTTTGGAAGACATCTTTTTCTATCCTAGTGCCCCTTCTGATTTACATGTCACACTCTCCGACCCACCCTTTCCCATATATCTAAGTTGTTGCATCTGTTTCATTGCGGTATCCCCAATTTTTAATTTAAATATTAAGCTGCCCCTTTTGCTAACAACCAAGCATTCTAACTTCTTGTAATTAACCTTTAGCCCTTTCTCCTACCATATGTATAATATTATCGGTGAGAATTCTTGTCTTTCTAAACTGATGTAACAAGATACAAGAGAACGGTGTAGCTTCAGAAACTTTATTCAGCTGAAAATATCTTTGTACAAAAATAAATACTATTTATAGTGGCTTTGACGAGGAGAGTTCTTTAGCCAAGGGAGATAATCTCTAACAAAGGGAAATAACTATGTGGCTGCCTACCACACTCGATTCTTAATAACTTAATTTTCGCCTTCTTGTCGAAATGTTTTTTGGGGGTTTTTTATATATAGACAGAAAATTGAACATGAATTGATTTCTCTCAATAGTAATAACATCAGTTCAATTAGGAAAATAAGCCAAGTACGTATTAAACAGCTGAGTAATTTCTGACAAGGGTCGTAGGTACATAGACGTACAATTTCTCTTAAAATTTAGAGCATTTATATCCGTTTTTTTAACAGGAATAGAGATTTAGGATTGGGTTTCCCTTCTAAAGTTTGCTTTCGCTGTTTACTCCTGACGTCTACACATGAACTCTGAAAATTTTATTCACTATTTCATATCATTTTTTTTTATCTCTTCGACCAATAGGGGTAGGTAGGTTCACCTACAGTCCGGTTTACAGCCCTCCCCGGTTTCTTTTGAACAGTAGAGGTTTCCTGTCTAGGATTTGGTTTCTGGTTTCTTCTAAATTCTACTTCAACTCTGTACTCCTTATGGCCCCCCACCTGAACTGTGAAATTTTATTCACTAATTATGTGTTGTATTTTTCTCCTCCTCCAATAGAAGTAGATAGGTTTGCCTGGGAATGGATGTTTTTCACTTATTTCCGGTTCCTTTTAAAAGACTACTTCGACTCTATGCTACTGATGTCTCCGCCTGAACTCTGAAATTTTATTCACTAATTATTTTTTCTTCTTTCTAAATTGGAGTAGATAGGTAGGCCTAACATTCGGTTCACACTCTGATCTTTTGAACAGGAGTAGGGTTTCGTCCCTCGTCTCCTGTGTAGGAGTGGGCTTCGGGCTCCTTCTGAAGTCTACTTCCATCCTATACTTCTTACGTCTCCGATTGAATTCTAAAATGTTATTCACTAATTCAATCTCAACCCCTTCAAGTCTAGAGTTAGACGTTACCTTTGCAACATCGCTCCAAGAACTTCACTTCTTACCCTTTCTTACGCTCATACAACACATCACAGTAACTCACTACCTTGAATGGCTCTTGGGCTTTGTATTGCGTGAACATTAGTAAAAAAAAAAGAAATGATGTTATATTTGTGTTCGTCGCAGACTTAGAAGAGAAAGAATTGCACCAATTATTAAAAGAAAGCTGAGAGTTTTTTTTATACTTTCCAGATCTTTGTCAATATACAATTCAGGAGAAAACAATGGCCAATCGCTCCTTTCTTAGTCCCTAATGAACGAACATGTTCTCGTTGAATTCAATTCACGGAAAAGCTTTAATCGCACTAATTCCAGCGAAGTAGAAATGCTTATGTTAAGATTTATATCACAAATGACGTGACAAAAAAATGGCAGCTCTTTGAACAGAAGCTAACTGAAAATCACTAAAGGTCAATTCCATTGAACCCGGATCATCGAATAGCGAACGCAGGGTGAGTTTGGTCCCTTTCCGCATCATCGTGCAGTAATATGTTCCTATTAGCGGGGAAAGCCGATGTACTTTGCAGATAAACAAGATAATCCAGCATGATGGAAAGAGCGTTTAGTGAACGCTAGAATAGCGCATGCGCAGGCCGAGAGACAGTATCGGTTTAATGACGGTCAGTTAAAGCGGGAATATAAGGTTGACTTCGGCACACAATTGATTAAACGTTCGGAAGCAAAGAATGTTAATTTCACAATGGGTTTCTCTTACACTAACTGAACGATCGGAGCTATTTTGTACATTTTTACATAACGTCTCATAACAAGAATGAAAATACAAGAATGAAATCAAGACAAGCTGCTGCACAGCATACCGGACCCAAAGTACCCCCATGTGCAAATTAATTGAAAAAAAAAACGCTTTAGTTTCCTTTCTTTCACTATACGGTCAGTTTTAGACCCACCAGAATGACAGGGTATAATCGATTTCTATTTTTTCCTCAGATTAGTTCATTAGTGGTGTGCAGTAATATGAAATTTGTTTGGCCTTGAAAAATATTGCGTCATCCGTGACTTTATCACTGCCAGACACTATTGTCTCGGCTGTCGATTAGTTGTCCTGCATTCATTGTCTGAGATGGCCGTTACTCCAAGGAAACGTACGAAAATTGTAACGCTGCACGAACACACTGGCAAGCCTTACCAGTGAGCAAATCAATGTACTATAGACTGGCCTGGAAACCCTCCTGATTTAAACCCAATCGAGAATCTTCTGTAGTCACTCTGCAAGGAACGACTTTGTGGACTGGACATACGAACTATTAACATGTGCACCGGATCATGTTCCATTGTAAAAATACGAAAAAAGTAAATAATAACGGAATTATTTGTTTTGTTTCAATGAATTTGCAAAAGGGTGTACATGAGGACGTCCTCAAAAATTCACTTCTGACTGCCTGCTGTACTATGATGTATGATACTATCCAAGTATTTTAGTCTCTATCTATGCTGTTTTTCTTTTAGTAATATGCCTTTGTAATAAAATAAAATAAAATAAAAACATTATATTTTCGATTTATATGCAGTATAATAAAAATGTGATATGTGAAAACAAATAAACTAGAACAACGATTCTCAACGTGGGGCGCATGACCCTCGAGTGTGGCATAGTAATATTTTGGTGGGACATGCGTATGATGTGCACCCTTCTTTCTGATCTAAAATAAATGTTTTCCAACATGGGTGATGCAGCCAATGCTAGTGGATATTTCTGATATTTCAATGCAGTACCAAGAAGAACTCTCGGAGATGCAAAATGACGAGTCTGTTAAAACTTTATTCAATATAAAAAGGATGGCTTTGGGATGAGACAGTAACTAAATATTCGAATTCAACCACTGTTGCAAGAAATTTGTTGTTACAATTTCAGTCTTCATATTTAGCTGAATGTGACTTTAGTTAAAAATTTAATTTTCAGATAAACACAACAATTTTGTCTTAGAAAAATGACGAACGCAACAATTTTTGTCTTGGAAAAAACAAGACCCTGATGACGAGATTGTGTTAATGTCGAAAGTACTCGGAATAAATTGAACACGGATCGACATGTTAATTTTCTTTCTTCAGAAGGATACTAAGAAACTTTTCCATAAGAGGATCCTATTAAAAATAAGTAGACAAAACTTGTCTAAATTATTTAATGTTACATGTCTTAATGGAGACATCCTGTCAAAATATACACTATATATATATATACATACATATATATATATATATATATATATATATATATATATATATATATATATAAGTGAACATAGAAGTCAACACTTAGAGGCGACAGTCTGTTTCATACTATAGGCATGTCGCCTCTAAGTTTTGAATTCTATGTTCCCTTTTATATATTTACACGCTCTATCTCTGATATTGAGCACTTTATTCCATAAATATAGCATACCTTAAGACTATATTTTATATATATATATATATATATATATATATATACAGAATATTTGGCAGCATGTCTTCATTAAGACATGTCTCATATATATATATATATATATATATATATATATATATATATATATATATATATATATATATATATATATAGATAGATAGATAGATAGATAGATAGATATAGAAAGAGAGAGAGGGTGGAGAGGGATAGCGGGCAAGTGGTTAGAACGACCGCTTTCTGACAACGAGACCCAGGTTCGAATCTATAAATATAGATTTAGGAGGATGGTGACTTTTTGATCTTATCGGTCTGGTGGAGGTAATTTGAAA